GTATTAGGGCAGCCGTGTGTTGGTCACTATGGGAGGAAAGAAACTCTCGAATTTTTTCAGAAAAGGAAAGATCCCTGGAAGACCTATTAGACCTTATACTTTTAAGGGCTGCCCACCGGCTAAAAACTATGGAACTGTTTTCAGACTTTCCTATAGCTGACCTGTTAAGAAACTGGAAAGAGATTGCAACCTCTACTCTGTGTAAGAGGACTCTTAGTCCCTTGTGGTCCCCTCCTCCCTTTGGATTTATAAAAGTGAACTTTGATGGCAGTAGCCTAAGGAATCCAGGGCCCTCTGGGATTGGGGGAGTTTTCAAGAATGAGGAAGGGATTGTTATTGCTCCGTTCTCTGGCCCTATTGGAGAAGGAGACTCTCTTAGGGCTGAGATCCTTGCAGCTATGGAAGGAGTTCAAAGAGCAAGGGAACTAAATATCAGTCAGCTGATTTTGGAAGGCGATTCAAAGGTGGTGATTAGCTGGTTGAAGAAAGAAGACAGTGGCTTGTGGAGCTACAATAATGAAAAGAAAAAAAATTTTATGGCTATGTAGGGGCATTGAGATACAATACAGCTGGGTGAAGATGACTGCTAATTCTTTTGCAGATGGGTTGACCAAGCAAGGGGTGAATAGGGAGTCTTATCTTTTGGGATAATTTTTAATCTCCTTCCATTGTAATTTGCTGATGGGGAGCTAAGACTTTTTATCTCCCCCTTATTGTACCTAAAGCTTCTTAATTTTTCTCTTAATTAATAAAGTTTCTGTTATTGATCAAAAAAAAAAAAGAAACTACTTCTACTTGCACAACTATGACTTTTAACATTCCCCATGCTATAAATGTATATGTTATCTCTTTACAAATGTAATCCACCCTACTCTGACTTAAACTCTTGGTAAACAAGTCAACTAGTTGATCTTCAAACTTTATAGGAGTAAAAACATCCCTCGCAAAGTGAATCAACTTTAATATACATTGTTCTTTCATGAAAAATTAGTTTAGGACAATATGGACAAAAGCCCGGCCATCAAAAAACATCATGGGAAGTGAAATTGTGCACCATATCTCTTGAAGCAAATGTTTTGACTGTATGAATTCATACATGGTGTGAGTCGAGACTTTATATTTAGCTTAAATACTACAACTGGCAATTCGGGGCTGTTACTTAGTGTAATGGTAAAAACTCAGGCTGGCAAGTTTTTGAGAACACAGGTTCAAGTCTAAGGGTGGCTACATTGTGCAAAAAGTGCCTTAGGTTAGGGCCATATGTCCAGTCTACCCCTCCTAGGACCCTAGATAGCTGGAACCAACATTGGGTTATGTCTTCCTTTTACTAATAGTGACCACACCATATTTCTTACTTCTCCAAGTAACAAGATCACATCCAAAAATGTACAATATCCTTGTAGTAAACCTTCTGTGATAAGATCCTACCCAATTAACATCTTTATACCCCTCAATCAACAAATGACCTTGTATAATAGTCCATGCTTCTCCAATCCATTGCATCCCAATGAGGAAGACCTAACCACTTCAATAACCAAGAAGCATTTTATCTTGCAAATGTCCTTAGTCTGAAAATCATCATCAACATCATCCACGCCTTATTCCCAACTACATGGGGTTGGCTATGAACATGGAAAACCATTAAAGGTCCTTAGTCTGAAAATGGTACTACATGGTGCTACAAAAGCTTTAAGCTCTTTTTTACCTTGAGTATAACTCCCTATAACAGCTATATTGTCTACATAACCAAGACAATCTTTCTTCCTGCAATGTCACAATTGGATATAAGATCATTAACGCTACACTTTTCAGTCCAAATTTCTGCACAACCTCACTAAATTAAGCAAACAATGCTTGTGATGGCTGTTTCATTCATACTTAAGTTTTCTTAATCTATATTGTTTAGTCAATTCTCACTAATCAACAAACCCTAAAGGTTGCTCCATGTACACCTATTCTTGCAAATCATCATGTAAGAAGGCATTTTTATATCCAAATAAAAGTATAAAACAAATTCCAATCAAGGTTAATAGTAAGGGAAATGATTACCCAAACAAAGTCAATTTTAGTAAACAGGGAGAGGGTTTCACTTTATTTTACCCTAGTGACACCCAATTATATGCTTGTTAGGAGGAAAAGAAGTGAGATCCCACATATGATTATGTTGAAGAGCAAGTATTTCTCTTCATAGCCATTTTCCATCAAGAACTGTGTTCTTGTACAAAATGGAACAAAGAAACCAAGGAAAACAGGGAGACAAACAATTGATGTGAACAAGAGAAAAATTTTGGATAATAGGATATGTGCTTACATTCTAGAAAGATAGTTGAAAGAGTCAAATTAGGTAAAGATATTGGTACTATCAATGTGGAGAATGCCATTGGAGGTGTGATTCAAGTCATTTCACTGCCTAGAGGCGTGAGGCATAGTTCAGAACATAAGAGGTGTAAGCCTCCAATGCACAAGGAGGCATAAGCCTCCTTAAGAAGAGGGGGGATGAGGAGGATAGAAAAGCAGGGAGGATCTCATCTTTTTTCCTTTTGTTTCTTCTTTTATGAAAGGTGTCTTGTATTAAGAAGAATGAAGATACATAACACCAGCTTAAAGAGGAGGGGTATTGTTGAAGCAGAGGCGAGCGAGCCAGAACATTTCAAATAAAATAGAAGTAGAGGAGAAGACGAGGAAGGGAAGAGCAGAGAAAAATTGGGGGAGCAGCTAGAAAACATGGGAGGTGCTACCCCTTTTCTATTTATATTCATCTTTCAACAAAAGTATATTAAATTATGACATATACCCCTGGCTACAAAATACTTGAAATAAAACAGAACGCAAACTTATCCATTAGATACCACCCTCTTACAAATGTCATATGTGCTATGTAAATGGTGGTCTAATTGTCACAATAAGCATCAATGGTCCCTCAAAGTCAACTCCCAAGTCCCAACTCTCTGTTTTTTAGCACAATCATAGAATCTTGAAAACAAAAAAAGACCATGAGCTATGGGCAACAATAGCCTACTTACTCTTCCAAGAGATTAGATTATGGCCAACTAGAGCAGAATGCCCAAAACTAGAATGTTGATCATCAATAGAACCAACCTGATCTGTATCTATAAATACTATTTTCATTATTCCATTTATTTAGTGTATGTTATATGTTATTGACTTCTTGTTTTTTCTTAATTATCTCAGTATTTTCTTTTTAATTAATTATTTTATTAATTGTTCCTATTGTTGATAATTATTTAATCAACTTTCTTATTTATTTTGTTTGATTTTTTATTTTATTAACTTTTTAAATTATTTAGCCATTCTATTAGTTATTTTAATAATTTTACTACTAATTAATTTTTTTTTATTTTTTTCATAATTATTTATTTAATGTGTGACATATGGTAATACTTCTTCTTAATTATCTCAGTATTTTTCATGTAATTATTTATGTATTTGCTAATTATTAAATTAAGTCTTCTTTTATATTTACTTCTTTTGTTCATTATTTTATTAAATTTTATAATTATATAACCATTTTATTACTTAGCTAATTATTTTTACAATTATTAAATAATTTAGGCAATATTTTATCATGTTTGCAATTATTTATTTAAATATTGTGTTTTATTGAATCAATTACTTATTTATTGCCATTTTATTAAGGGTAAAAGGGTACCATTTGACTCACATGATCACACTAACAGAAAGCACAAAGTCAAGAAAACTGGCTTTGTGCTTTTGTGCTTTTGTGCTTTTTTGTGCTTTTACTTTTTAGATTCTTTGAAAAATAAACGTATCCAAATGTCCAAGGTGCTTTTCTAAGAACTTTAACTTTGTAAAACCAAAAATACTTTATAAAATTTTTTCCAAACGGAACCTAACTCTAATCCCTTTGAACATAAGAACTAAAAAAATGCTAAAAAATAGTAAGTCGTTTTTTACTATAAATAGTAATGACAACAATTACTATAAATAGCAATAATGGCAATTTTTATACATGGTCTATTTTTTGAGGACTTTCACCATGACTTGACTTGCAGAACCTAAAAACCAACCAAATTAAAGTCTTTGGTTGGGATACTACCATGTGTTGGATTGATCTGCTGTAAAGCTACGCTATTTAGTATTGTAAGTTAACTTAATGCTACCAGATATAGCCAAATCAAAACAACTTTGAATGGTCAAATGGCCACTATTTTTGGTCCGTTGCCATCTGAGCTCTTGTCATCAATTTCTTACTTTGCTTCGAATTTGCATCAAATAATTCTTGCAAACTGCAAGTAATCTCAAGTAACACTGCTTTGGTCGAGCTTCCAAAAAGCACCACATAAATCAACAATATCCTTGAATGTTTGTAAGCACCACACATGCAACACAATGCCTACAATGTTAGTTCAAATCAGATAGTTCAGTTTCAGATGTCCAACCAGTGGGCTGTTATCCCCTCCTTTTTATTACTATGCAGCACAAGCGAAAACAGTCATCTACCCAAATATCTCGCATCCACTTGCCTAACAGTAGTCCATTCCTTGACCAATTCACTACTTATTTTTCTCCAGGAAACAAACTAATGAATCTTCCCCACCAAAGCATGTCTACAATAGTTGCTCGTGATGTTTTACATTTCCAATGTCCTCATTCACAACTGGATGCAAAAGATTGCCTAAAATTCTTATTGACCTGTAAAATATCATAGTTGCCTCTCCAGCTAGTGAACTAGACATGGCACAGTATCGATCCTCTTCACATTTTAAGCTGTAGATAATCTTAAGCATATGCAGTCTTATTTTGCATATGTATGAATTCATCTATTTTGATTTTGATGGATTATGATGCTTTATTTTCCCTCTCTAAATTCTAAATGCTGATCTGAATTGCATCTTTGTGTACTTAATTTGGTTCATGGAAATGTTGCAAATGCTTAGCATTGTGTTGTTTTTGTTGTTTAGCATCTTTCTATTTTCTTGAACATGGTACATCATATAACTCTCCTTGTGAAATTTCAGGCCGTTAGCTTCTCAGATACAGAGGAGTTCAGGGATCTCCAGACTCTACTTGAGGAGGTAAAAGAGAAACTTGAATCCACTTCAGTACCTTCTACCGGAAACTCTTAGTTTGACCGTTATGGGATGTGTTATATATTAATGGCAAGGTAAAAGAGAAACTTGAATCCACTTCAGTACCTTCTACCGGAAACTCTTAGTTTGATCGTTATGGGATGTGTTGTATTAATGGCAAGGTAAGACCAGCAATTCCGAATTTTTCAAGTTTATATTCCTTTGACATCAGACGAGAGATTCCCTAATTGGTGGTAAACTTGGACATATATGTTTTATTGAATAGTGAGTCACAGCCACATGATGACTACGTGACAAAGAGGGGCATTTATCAACTTGTTGAAGATGTTTATCAGAACGTAATCATCAGTCATCTGTTCCTACAATGCTGTAACTTGGTTGTAGTCTTCTCCAACTCACATGACAAGGCGAAAGGAAAAGTTCATAAAAGCTGTTTAATTTTATGACAGATTAAGCCAGAGTTGGAGCAAATATCCAAATTGATCATTCCAAAGTGAATATAATTTTTTTTAAATTATATGCCATTAGATTATTTTGATAGTATATTCCATTCACTTTTGAACAGCTTTAGCACAAGAAACAAAAAAAAAAAATCTTGTATATATGTTAGTTGTGTTTGATTAATAAGATTTATGTTATCCTAAGCATATTCCCTCATCCATACACTTATTTCTCTAGCCGAGTTAACTTGTGGGGTGTAAAACAACCCGTTGATTTGACTAAAAGAAGAAAGAAAAGAGTGAAGGCCATTTGGCCAAAACAATGCCATTAATTCAATTGCTATTCCCTCACTATAACATGTTTGGGCCCTTGGCTCTACAGTAAGGGAAATCTTGGCTAAAAACACTACACTAACGAGTCCAGACGGTAAAGAGCAATTCTTTTGTTTCTTGATTGTAAAATTACGAAGGTAACTTAATCAACATATTCCACAGGCATCCTTGAATCTGTATTCTGGTGCTCAGCTAACAAGAACCAAGAGTTGGAGTACAGATTCTATGTAGATCATTCCAGAATGGGTACAAGATTTTCGATTTGTGCGATTAGATTTATTTTTACGGTACATGCCATTTTTGTTTAAAACACACTAGGTGACACAAGTGGGAAAAAAAAAACTGATAACATTGCATTGAATGTAAATATTGGTCATTGTTAATGGTGTTTGCCTGTTTGGTATTGTAGCATTGGATTCAAGGCTTAAATGGGTAAGCTAGGAACGTTTGTGGTAGGAACATTTAAAAGAAAATGAATTGGGTGTATTGGATAGAAACTACTAGGCACCATATAGTAAAAACCATGCAAGAAACCTTAATGATTGGGGAAGCTACAATATGGTATCAATATTGCCCCGCACTGCTGCACATGAAATAAAATGTATGGCATGGTGTTCCATTTCAACTTAAGGCAATTTTCATGAGACATGAGTTTTAGCTATTCGTAGTGTTGATCCCTAACATAGACGTACCTAGGTACCTCAAAATTTTTGCAAAAGTTCTTCATGAAAAGGTTAGCTATTTGTTACCTAAAATCAGGACTTCTATAGTTCTATCTGGAGGTGTTCCCATTTCAACTTGGGTGGCTAAATTAAACTTCCATCTTGAGGAAGCAAATTGGTCTTAATTTGTCATGTGTTGCAAAGCTTACCGATTCATAGAGGTGGCAATTTTTCACCCAACCCACTGAACCCACCCAACCCACCCAGTATCTAACCCACTCATTTACTTGGCGGGTTGTGTGATCAACCCGTCACCCAACCCGCCCATTTAAATGGGTTGGGTTGGGTTGGGTTGTGGATAACTGTTGGGTTAACCATTACAAACATTAGTATTAATTCCTTAGCTTTTTTTTCTTCATTTGAATTAAATAATTTATAATTAATGCATTAATTTTCTATTAATTATTGACTAAATTTAGTTTTGTCTTGAATCAACACACTTCACTCCAACATAAATCCAAATCAATTTGACCCAAGTCTGGACCAGTTCAATGCGGTCTGGCCCGATCCAACATATACCGATCCGGGTCGACCCAAATCCGAAAATAGACCTCAGACAGGATGGCTCGGTACCGCTTGCTTTGCCCGGTTTGGGTCGTCCGGTCACCCAATACAAGCTGATTTGGGTCAACCCGAATTTGAAACGAGTTGGACCGGACAGGATCCGAACCCTAAACCACCCTGCTTGCTTTGTCCGGTTTGGATCGTCCAGTTTGGCTCATATCCATTCAACCCGACCCAAATTGACCCAGTCCGATTTACTTCTTTTGACCCACTTCGGGCCAATCGGTTCGGCCCCAAACCCATGCACAAACCTGATATGAGCCGACCCAAGTCAATCCACCATTGACTGAACCGGTCCGGTCTGGTCCAATCGGATTGAACCAGCCCGACCAAACTGAACTGGTACAGGTTTGATCGAGTTTTGTCCGACCGGACTGATCCGGATCTAAACGGTTCAACTACTCTTGAACTTGATGTGATTACCTCGAAGACAATCCAATTAGATAGTTCAAGTTGGTATGACCGGTTTGAACCTATGTGATTCATCAAATCCAAAACCCGAACATAGTTAAATGACTTTGCTGCATGTATAAAAATAACATGCATGTAATGTGATTTTAACCTTCATCACTTGTATAAATAGCAATTACTATTACCACTAAGCTATAACTAACTTATTTGTTAAAATGTAGTTAGCTTTTTTGTTTTAAGTACATAAATATAAGATTAATGGGTTTGGGCGGGTTGGATTGGGTTAAAGTAGGTTTGGGTTGAACTCAACCCATTTAATTTTATATAACTGGGTCATTAACGGGTTGGCGGGTTAAATGGATTGGGTTGAAACTCAACCCAAACCAAACCCAACCCAACCTGCCCAATTGCCTCTACCAATTCATATTCTTAGTGCAACTGCTCCCCCTAAGGCAGTTGTTGGGCATGATCATTAGCTTTTTGCTATCTTCCTTAAGGCCATCTTTGGTTTGAAGGAAAAGGTAGGGAAATGAAGGGAAAGTAGGGAAACCTATACAAGATTTATACAGTTTTCCCTTCCTTCCCCTACTTTTTCCTTTAAACCAAACATAGCCTTAGGGTTCCTCTCATTGTGGTGATAAGATGCATTGGATCCAAGCCTATAAATGAAGGTATATTGGGTATAACGTCTCTATGGGATGTGATAAAGGCTTTGTCTTAACTCTTTGCTCAGACCCTTACAAAATGATAATATTTGGGCCTAGTTGATGATGTTAAAATATGTCAAAAACATACATTTTCCTCTTCTTTCTCTACCAAGATCTTGAGACTCTAGATAGAGATGATTAGCGTGGAACATTTGGCGATGATTAATTGCCAATGGTTGATTGGCAAAGGAGAGTTTCTTTTTGGTATGGCAACTGGTTAGGGTCAGGTCTTTGTTTGATATTATTCATTATGTTAACCAATTCTCTTGTTTTGTGGATGATGCGGCTGATTTTCTACTATGCAACCCCAACATTAATGGTGAGTTTATCAGGAGTCTGGATCTCCTGCACACAATAACTCTCCCCACGTCTACCCACAAATCATCGCAGCCACACATGTAGAACATCTCATCCTATATAGTATTTTGCATGGGGATGCACAGGGGTAGTGTGTTTTGAGTAGACGTGGGCAGAGTTATTGTGGGCAAGAGATCCGGAGTCGTTTATCATTTTGTTTGCTTGGGATTTGGTGAGGAATTATAGACCCTATTGAAGATTGGGCTAAATTTGTATCAAAAAAGGGCTTCCTACAAGGATTTTTATGTTTATGTGGAGGTTCATGAATAGAGTGCTCCCAACTAATGATCTTGCTATGCGTAGGGATGTTCTTGTTGTTTCAAAATGTTGTTGTGGCAACTACAAAGTTGAATGTTTAAATCAATTTTTTGCAGTTAGGGTTATGACAAGCAAAGTTTGGAGGTATTTCTCAAATCTCGTTAACATTCCTCTAATTATCTCACCATGTGATTGATCGTATTAAAGGGTGGTGGAGTTTTAGTAAAAAGGATTCCCATGTGCATTTGCAGGTGTAAACAGATTGAATTCGAACCGAATCAGGCAATGTCCAAATTCAAATCTGATTACAAAATTTGATATCCGAATTTTATTTGATATCCGACGGATATTAAAAATTAATATTCGATTTGATTTGAATTCGACCAATTAACTGTTTTAGGTAATTAAAAAATATATAAAATAAATATTTTATTTATTTAAAGTATATAAATATATATATTATTTATATAATTTAATTATCATATATAAATTATATAAACACTTAAAGATTTTATATAATATATATAAGAATTAAATAATCGATCGAATTAGGCTATTTGTCGAATCGAATCAGGTCATATCCGAATTCAAATCCGATTAGCTATTCGATATGAATAGGATATCTGAATTCAACCATTAGATATTCAAATTATCCTAATTCGATTCAATTATATTGAATCTTCAATTCAAAATCATATTTTCGAATACCGTTGACACCCCTATATACATTATTTAATCAGCAGTACTCCCTCTATCATACTATGGGTTTTATGGAAGAAGAGATGTAGAAGAGTTTTGGAGGGTTCAGGCTTCTCTTCATTAGTTTTGATATTTAAAGGAGATACTTGGTGAAAATTAACTCACTATGGAAGACCCTAAGTTTATAACACCTAATCAATATGTTCTTCAAGCTCTCAACATTTTGATTAAGGCTACTAAAAGGACAAGAGTCATGTGGATGGCTTGGAATTTTTCTTCTAACTATCAATTTAAATTGAATGCGGATGGTGCAAATAGAGGCAACCTAGGTGCTAGTAGTGGCGGTGGTATTGTTAGAAATGCAAATGGTCTCCCCATCTTGGTTTTCTACAATTCCTATAGTGTTGCCATTTCTATACAAGCATAATCCTTGGCTCTCCTTGATAGAATTCAAATTTGTTTTTAACCATGGTATACATCTCTCTCTCTCTCTCTCTCTCGGCTTAGGGAGAAATATTTATATCTAGGTTTGGGGCAAGGTGGGCTATGTTGCTACCAAATCTAGAGCCGAGGGAAACTTTGTCACTTCCGAGGTGATGAGGCTAAGGGTCCCACCTATAAACAGTCAAAAGATGTCAAAGTCCTTGGGATATAGTCCTAGGGACAAGGGCTCTGGCAATCAAGTTAGTCGAGGGCTTTAGGAAGGTTGAAGTTACAATAAGAAAGAGCGATTTGAGTGAACAAGTGTGCATAAGGAGAATGCCTAAGGCCATGGAGTTCTTTATATAGCCGGAGTCGCCCAAGAGCCAGCGCATTGGGTGTTATGTAACGGCTCCGCATGTCAGGGGCCATGACTGTGGGAGATAATGGAGCGAGATCCCCATAGCCGAGCGTTACCTTGCCATTAATGCACTAGGGGAGCTCGGCCGAGATCATAGCATTCGCAATTAATGCTCTAATAATGATGGTAGTAGGAAATGATGAAAGTACCCTTAGTTGAGGTTGAGATGATGATAATGCCCTTTGGGCATGCTATGTGGCATCTGCTAACGGAGTGGTCAATTACACCCGTA